TCTGCAGCTGATTCCTCTGCTAACAGTATTGAGCAGGTTTGGTCTGCTGATGAGAGGGGAAAGCTGTGCCTTAGGATGGTTATGTCTTCTTCCAAATAAAATTCAATAAGTAGCAGGGGTTCGAGTACTACTTAAACATGTGCACCTCATAACACATGTGCAGGTCCATGTAGGAGAATACTGCACAGGGAGCAGTGCCGAGGGACAGGTGGACAGGTGATGCAAAAGGGTAACAAAGGTGAAGGTGCCAAAAGCCAGGAAGTCACAGATGAAATGCAAGTCAGCAAAGCGTCAAGTATGGGAAAGAGAAGGTAGAAATGGGGGGTAGCAAGTGGTACCTGCCCCTCAACCCGGTTGGATATTAGCTGGTTCCTGTTATCATCTGACCACCACCATTATGTGATACCTTCCCCCAGTTGTCACTCAGCAGGACCAGACCTCCTCTGAGAACCTCTTGCATGTTCACCCTGTGAGGAAACCAAGTTTTTCCCTGATCTTCTACTCTACTGATGCATAAACCCTAACTATTCCAAGTATTAATGAAAGACAACAGAGGAGAGCAGCCAGCTCTGGCCCAGAGCAATTTGGCCCACAATAGTACTCAGGACAAAGAAGAATTGGAGAAGCGTCTTACAAGAATAGCCCATGGTTCATGTAAGTGAAGAACATAACCTGGCACAGGCTGTCATAAAGCACCTTTCCCTAGAGGAAGGGGGTAGAAGGGAATAAATGTGGGTATTGTCACCCTCCCAGGGAGAGGGAGAGGAAGGTGGGACCCATTCAGCTGCCTGTAAGACTCCCACTTTCCATACACTTTCTGCACATTTTGAGGCAATGGGTGTCAGGGATGTTCGTGGAGTCCATTGGTCAGGGCTCTCCACACAGCTCAGCACCGGCAGCCACAGCACATCTGACAAGACAGTAGCGGAAAGTAGCAGAACCCTGGTCTGGCTGAGGGAGGGAGAAAGCTATGTTGTGAGAATAAAGGAAGAAAGGGCATCACCTCAGGACACTGGGACAATGTGAAGGTCTTACCTGCAGATGAGACAAGTGCAAACACTTCCAGCATCACATCGCAGTACAGAAGTCTCTGAGGCTCATCAAGGAGCCCCCACTCCTCCTCAGAGAAGACAATGGCCACGTCCTCAAAGTCCATATCCTGTCGTGATGGGGACAGTTCAGTCCATGATCAGCTTCTCTCCTAGGCTTTTACTTTCGTCATCCTTCCCACTCTCCATATGCATCTGCTCCCTCCATCCCACATCACAGAAAATAGCAGGCCTTGAGGAGAAACCAAGATGGCGGCATAGGTAAACACCGGAAATTGCTGCCTCCCACAACCACTTCAAAAGTACAACTAAAAGACAAAACAGACATCATCCAGAACCACAGGAAAGCTGGCTGAGTGGAAATTCTACAACTAGAAGAAAAGAGAAAAGCAACTGAGACTCAGAGGAGGTACAGAAATAAAGTGCAGAGGTGTGGAGGCACACATGGAAAGGGCTGGCAACTGAGGACACAGTTGTCATTTTCAATCGGGATGGAGTCTCAAGATCTGAACTCCAGTTCTGGGCAAGTCTCTGGGGACCCAGACTCATACGGGGAGAAACTGGACTATCTGGCATCGGTCAGAACTCGAGGGCGGCTTTCCCTCAGATGTGCTTGCAGTGATTACCAGAACACTGAGACCCTGGGCCTCTTAGGGTAGGGCTGAGGAGCCGCCATAGCTGCTTGCTCCGCCCTGATGATCCCCTGAGACCCCGCCCCACCCAAGCTGTGCGGAGACGCTTTTGCATATGAAAGGCCTGGCCTTTTGCAATCTGAAAATTACCTAACAAACTGCTGCTGGATCAGAGAGACCCAGAACATCCAAAATAAGGCCCAAGGCCCCAGAGCAGCTTGCACTCCTTCATAGCTGGGCCTCATCTGGGCACCTCCAAACCCCAAACAAAGAAGAGGAATCTGCAGATCTCTCTATAGCTCCTGCTGGGTAGCCTCAGGAAGAGGCTAAATTAGCACCTCCTTAGAGTTCCAGCCATTTGCAGTGGCTTTTCCATATGAATGTCCTATCGTTGCTCAGACTTTAGACTTTCCAAAATTCACTCAAACAAGCAGCAGCTGGCATCAGCATGTCCCATGCCTATCAGTAAGAGGCCTAAAACAGCTTAGCCTTACGTGGGCACTGCCAAACCCAACACAAGTAGTAGCCATCTGCAAGGTAGCTACACATCAATTTTCTTGCACATCCTAGGAGAGGTCAGAGACAATGAACCTGGTGGACAGCTTCAGACCATACCAGATTATAACTCTACACATCCACAACTCAGATCCATAAGGGACAAACACAGTGAGCACTAAAACCCCACTGAAGCAAGTGTTGCCTCAGAAGGGTGTCTTCGGCACAGAAGTTCTTCAATTGTTGTCTCAGCTGGCACTCACAGCATAATGGCCGAGAGGTCAATTTCTCCCCGTGATGCCAACAGAAAACAAGGCTCAACTACCAGACTGTACACACAGCCCACACAGGGGCACACCTAAAGTGCCCAGTTCAAGTGACTGGGGAGGCTGAGGCA